CCAGCTTGTGGCGAGGTTGGCCAAGAAGGCCAATGGCTTCCTGGCCTGTATCAGAAATAGTATGGCCAACAGGACCAGGGTAGCGATTGTCCCCCTGTACTCAGCACTGGTGAGGCCGCACCTCGAATACTGTGTTCAGTTTTGGGCCCCTCACCACAAGAAAGACCTTGAGGTGCTGGAGCGTGTCCAGAGAAGGGCAGCAAAGGTGGTGAAGGGTCTGGAGCACAAGTCTGATGGGGAGCGGCTGAGGGAGCTGGGGGTGTTTAGTCTGGAGAAAAGGAGGCTGAGGGGAGACCTTATCGCCCTCTACAACTCCCTGAAAGGAGGGTGTAGTGAGGTGGGGGTTGGTCTCTTCTCCCCGGTAACTAGCGGTAGGACAAGAGGAAATGGTCTCAAGTTGTGTCAGGGGAGGTTCAGGCTGGACATTAGAAAGAACTTCTTCACTGTTAGAGTTGTTAAGCATTGGGAATGGGCTCCCCAGGGAGGTGGTGGACTCACCATCCCTGGAGGTGTTCAAAAAACATTTAGATGTGTTGCTTCGAGACATGGTTTAGTGGGCATGGTGGCATGAGGTATACGGTTGGACTTGATGATCTTTGAGGTCTCTTCCAACCATAATGATTCTATGATTCTATGATACATAAATGAATCCTTTTCTGGAGATCTATTGGTGTCAGTGTGGTGCAGAATGAATATAGAGCTTGGCTTGGAGTGATCTGGCTGTTCATTTCAGTTATTTTGTATTTAGAAATGTAAAGACATTCTAATTTTGTTGTTTGTTTGGGTTTCTCCTTTTTATTGTGGTGGTTTTTTAGCTTCTGAAGTTCAGATTTGCACATTGAAATATGGTACCTATGTATCAGCTTGGCTTGCTTGCAGAAATGCTCTATCAGTGTGAAAATCCAAGACCTTGAGCAGAGAGGAAAAAAATATCCATTAAGTGGTTAAAAATAAATAAAGGGAAGCCATAACTTTTTAAGGAGGCAGAGTAGTGAAGCAGAGCCATCATCTTACTGTTTCGGCCAAAAGAGCAAATATTTAAGTACAAGTTTTCTGCTGTGATGGCATGACGTTTGTAATGTTTTGAGGCAAGGTTTTCTGGAAGTTGTTGCCTTGTATTAGATTTTTTTTTTTTTTTCCATGTCCTAGTTTATAAGAATTTTTTTAAAAGGTATTCAGTTGAAACTTGTAATGGGGTTTTAAACACTGCATGGGACTGGGACAACCCACTTACTTAGAAGTTGTTTCTCTGAAAAGTCAGCATAAAACTTTTTTAGCTAGAATAATCAACAAAAAGTAAATATATCCTATTAAACATTCATTTGAAAACATAAAAATTCATTTTGGTGGTTTTTTGTGGGTGTCATCCTGTGAATGTTATTGCTTATATTTGTTATCCTAAAGGAGAGTTAATAAAAATCTGTGAACAACCTCAAGCAAGAGGAAAGTGTCGCTTGCCTCCCACGGACATACCCAGTAAATAAGGCACTGTTGTATTCCTTAAAAGAGGACCAGTGGCGTGTCAGGCCACATATACAGTTCTGTTTGTCCACCATTATGGCATCTTACTGGCACTACAGAATTACAGTAACTAGTAGTGGAAATGATGCATTAGATATCTTGTCCAGTCTGTCTCTGCCAGGGTTATGCTCTATAGCACACATACATGTCATTACTCCCTGAAAATATTTACATAAGCATAGGTGAGTACTATAATGTAGGCTTTTTTCTAAAAGTTTTTCCACTTCCTGAACTTGTTTTCTTAGAGGCATATAACAATGTCTTGTCAGTTGGTTATTATGATTATTATCATCACTATGTGAAACCCCATTATAAGCTAGCAACAGAAAACTTGTGACTATATCCAAGACAATGTCTGCATGCCTTTCATGTAGTAGGTCGTTGGGATAGAGAACAGTATTTCTTCCCAATCTCGAGGAGAAGCAACTGAGGCCTTCAAAATCTAAGACCTAATCCATTTTACCTAACCTTAGGTGCTGAAAAATAATTATTGTAATGTAATTACTCCTTCAATAATCAGTGAAAGCAAAGAGGCATCTTCAGAGTGATTCATTCAATTGTAAGATGGGACAGCTGTTATACCAGATGAATTCAGAGTGAATGACTTGCCGCAGGTGCTAGGGAAGCCAGAGCTTGCAATTAAATCCTGATTAGTGTATCCCAGAATAGAGCCTAGTGACTGGATAATCCCTTCTCCTAGAGTTTGTGTTGATATAGTTCCTGAAACATCTCTTAACAGAATGATGTGCGTAGGTTTCCGCTTGATAGGTCCTTGGTTACAACTTGACAGGTTTAAACAATTTTATTTTTTTGATACTTCTAATTGCATATTATAGATTCATTGCCACTCAAGACAAAAATCTAGATTGAATTTATTAATGGTATTTACGTAACTTTTTGCAGCATTCAGACTTTTGTAAGTACAGCTCCTTAGGAAGAAAATTAGTAACTGTGTCTGCCCTTCCTCTAGAACACCTTCTCATGGACCAGAAGGCTTAACTCCTCGTGGAGGACTAACTCCTAAACCTGTGGTTGGTACAACTCCTGGTAGAACTCCACTACGTGATAAATTGAACATCAATCCGGAAGAGGGTATGGCAGATTACAGTGACCCATCTTATGCAAAACAAATGGTAAGGAGTACTTTAGAGCACAGATTTCCACTTCTTTTGATTTTCAGGATTTTTAATTCTCATCTCCAGAACAAAATTTTATTTTATAATAAAAGCAAGTGTTATTTCTACCACTTGTCTACAGGTCTGTACTCATCACCTGATAAAATAAAATCTTTATTTGAAAAAACAGAAACCTTGCCACTTAGAACAACTTTCATTGTGCTCAGTAAAAGCACTTTTAAACTGTTTGTCAAAGAAGACATAGTTAAGTTTCAATCCTATTTGTGTCTTTGAAGCTGAGCAGGAAATATATCTCAAGATTCACTTTTCTTGCAATCCGATGCAGCCCTCAAATCCCTCATCATCTTGGCTTCCCAATTTTCCTACTGGGCCTTTTCATCAATCTGTCATGCTGACAACACTGAGCTAAAGGAGTTTAATTTTTGCCATTAGGAGCACTTGGTTGTGAGATGTCCAGTAATCTGAGTCCTATCCAGATTCTTTCATCGCCTTTGGCAACAGATGTTTCCATTCTTGGAGATTCAGCCAGATGTACCCTGCCAATTAGACATATGGTATAAAAGGGCATGTACCTAATAGGTAGCACCTTGGCAACTCCTTTTATGTGGCTGATTCTGTAGCCTTAACTGTGGCTTTGGATATCTCCCACCAGAGCTATTGACATTTTTCTTCTTGGGATAGCTAAGGATATCCACTTCAAGTTTTTGGCGTGTTCTCACAAAAATAACTCTTCAAGTTCAGAATTTCAGATTTCCTCTTGGCTTGAAGGACAAGGTTTATTTGATGTCCTTATACTTACTTTGGTTCTGTCTTAGCCTTTTTATAGTAAGAAGGCTTTTTGCTGCTGGAAGGAAAACTGGGGCTTCAGTTTCCTGATGGACTCCACTGTTTTCCAGATCAGATGCTGTTTGTCTCATTTTTGTGCTGTGCCACAATCCCCAGATTTGCGGGCAACTGCAAGGAAAAATGTTCCACTTAGGCGTGCAAATACCCATGTGTCCATTGTCAGTGTGGACACATTTTCACATATTTTCAGTTTCTTGAAAGGAATTTATGTGATTCTCCACTGTTCTACTGGAGATGAAGGTGCCACGCTGTTGTTTTACTTGAGTGTATTTCAGCCTGTTTGAAGATTTCATTAGCTATCTTTAAGGAAGCTGTCTGTTGTTTTTTTTGTATTGGGGAGTTTCTGTGCCTAATAGTGCGTAAACTCTGCAGTAGTGGCCTATAGGCCAACCTGGATTACTTACATCCCTCTCTTGTCAGATTTGAAAGATTTTATTTCTCTTGGCTTTGTAGCAGACTGAGATGGCCAGATGACACGAGTTGTGTAGTCTGTTAATGTAGATGAATGGAATTTGATTGTATTGCACCTTAGTAAAAACAGGCAGGATGGCCGGGCCCAAAGAGTGGTGGTGAATGGAGTTAAATCCAGTTGGCGGCCGGCCACCAGTGGTGTTCCCCAGGGCTCAGTGTTGGGGCCAGTTCTATTCAATATCTTGATTCCCTCATTCAGGTCATTGGCAGGTTGCACCCTCAGTCAGTTTGCAGACAACAACAAGCTGGGTGGGAGTGTTGATCTGCTGGAGGGTAGGAAGGCTCTACAGAGGGATCTGGACAGGCTGGATCGATGGGCTGAGACCAACTGTGTGAGGTTCAACAAGGCTCAGTGCCCAATCCTGCACTTGGGTCACAACAACCCCATACAATGCTACAGGGTTGGGGAAGAGTGGCTGCAAAGCTGCCCAGAGGAAAAGGACCTGGGGGTGCTGGCTGACAGCCGGCTGAACATGAGCCGGTAGTGTGCCCAGGTGGCCAAGAAGGCCAATGGCATCCTGGCCTGTATCAGAAATAGTGTGGCCAGCAGGACCAGGGCAGTGATCGTCCCCCTGTACTTGGCACTGGTGAGACCACACCTCGAGTCCTGTGTTCAGTTTTGGGTCCCTCACCACAAGAAAGACCTTGAGGTGCTGGAGCGTGTCCAGAGAAGGGCAGCAAAGGTGGTGAAGGGTCTGGAGCACAAGTCTGATGGGGAGCGGCTGAGGGAGCTGGGGGTGTTTATCCTGGAGAAGAGGAGGCTGAGGGGAGACCTGATTGCTCTGTACAACTCCCTGAAAGGAGGTTGTAGCCCGGTGGGGGTTGATCTCTTCTCCCAAGTAGCAAGTGAAAGGACAAGAGGAGATGGCCCAGGGGAGGTTTAGATTGGATATTAGGAAGAATTTCTTCATGGAAAGGGTTGTCAAGCATTGGAACAGGCTGCCCAGTGGAGTCCCCATCCCTGGAGGTATTTAAAAGGTGTGTAGATGTGGTGCTTAGGGACATGGTTTAGTGGTGGACTTGGCAGTGCTAGGTTAACGGTTGGACTTGATCTTAAAGGTCTTTTCCAGCCTAACCAATTCTATGATTAGTGCATGAATCCAGAAGCATTGTATTTTACCGTTATTTCAACAGGAGAGAGAGTCTCGTGAACACTTGCGCCTTGGACTTATGGCCCTTCCTGCTCCAAAGAACGACTTTGAGATTGTTTTACCTGAAAATGCAGAAAAAGAACTTGAGGAACATGAAGTAGATGAAGCCTTTGTAGAAGATACTGCTGATATAGATGCCCGCAAGCAGGTAGGTGTGTGGGATGCAGATAATGCCTTTTGTTTAAAATTAAGTATGTTCATTGTGTGGTTCTGTAGTTTCATACCTATTTAGTGGAAGTGGTACGACTTCTACAGGATAACAAAGTAAAATGTTTGCTGTGTTGCCATCAGAGCAGACACACACACAGGCTATATCAGTTTTCTCTCTGAATCTTTTTCTTAACTTGTTAATGTTACGTATGACATTTAATTTTCTACCATGAAGTCTAAAAGAGTGCGTATGTCCTACCTCCGGCATTTGTCCCCCAAAAGATAAAAATATAATTAAAAATTTTTCTACAGAGGCACATGCTTGATTTTTAAGCCCGTGAAAATTGTGCCTTTGTTTTTTTATTTTTTTCAGTTTCAAGTTATCCTCTTGAGGTTAAAAGTTACTGTTTGTGACATGTAAGACAGGTATGTACAAATTCAGGCAGGCTGGAAGCACACAGATAGAAATCTGTCATGCAGTGAATTGGTCCCTTTTGTATGACTTCTACCACAGGATTACCCAGACAGCCAAGTTGTGAATGGGTCCCTGTTGTTTTGTTTTGTTTTGTTTCAGAATCAAGGAAGGCTGGATGAAGTGCTAGCTTAAATTCTGATGGTTAAGTAGCTGTACTGGCCAGTAATTAGAGACCCTTTAAACATTATGTTTATGAGAACAGTCTCTTTTCCATTTATTGCTTATCCTAATTTTTGTAGTGCAAATCGGTTTTTGTTACATACCTTCAAATAAACGTTTTTTTTTTTTGAGTTCCAAGGGGTTTTTGCCAGTGGCTGTTCTTTGACAAGTGAACAAAATGTTTTAAAAGCATAGGATTTCTATGCTTGCACTGATATTTTCTAATATGATAAGCATTTCCCAGAATTTGATTCCTAGTGTGTCTTGTTTGGGGAGAAAGACATTATCTACATATATGTGTATGTCTTGTGCATACACACCCTAATAAAAAATCTGAATAAATACAGATAATTTATGTGTATAGAATGGAGAAAAGAATTTGAGTTGTAATATCATACAAGAGAATAGCATCCTGCCTTTCAAGTGAAGGCGTTACATGGCTTGGATTAGAACATGGAAGATCTTGGTCATTGTTCCTGAAGTTTGAGAGAGCACTGCCTTTTCATGTTATTTACTGCCTGAAAGTGGGATATAAGGAGAAATCTCATGTTTTTCCTCTTTCACAAGTATTGTTTTAGTGAAGCAGTTACTTAAGTCATTGAAGAGGACGAGTAGAGTCCTGGCTGCAAATTTAAGAATCTTTCTTTTCCTGGTGGATTTCATGTCTGGAGAGTCAGAGCAGTTGTCAAACTTGATGTGGAGAAATTTGTAAAGAATGAGGTTTGCTGCGGTTGAGGCTGAAGGAGAATTTGATGGCTGGGAATGATTTTTTAGGATCTCTCTCCTATTAGAGTTAGTCTGCTGTGCTCTTCCAGTTTACTTCAGAGGCAGTAAATTATGATGTCATCACATTATTTGGCTCTGGCTTCATAACATGAAGTCTTTATACTTTAAGGAATCTTTGCTGTAGTAATCAATTAGTTTTTATATCACATACATTTCTAGGAAGCATCTGATTGTTTTACAGTAGCTGTAGTAACACTTAGCTCGTTTGTCTAGGCTCTCCGAGAGGCAGAGCGTGCAAAGGAACTGAAGAGAATGCACAAAGCTGTTCAGAAGAATCTACCACGGCCCTCAGAAGTAAGTGGAAACAAAAATCGCTTTTAAGGAAAAGAAAATAGAAATAAAGGTTTTAACTATAATAGGAGGAAATACAATCTAAGTAGATCATGAGAGAATGAAATCTTTATTTGAGCATGCTGATTTCAATGTTACAGGAAACTTTCACAGTGAAATTGTCATGAGGTATTTCATATGCACAATGAAAGCACAGTTGGATGTTGAGGTTACTGTATGTGTGTTACACTGCAAGGGATTTTGGTGCCTGTTCTGCGTTGTTTAGCTGATATATAAAATTCATACTCAGGTGGAGGTATATGAATTTAATGTGATCTTTGGTGTATATGATGTTTATGAACTTTTTTTTTATTCCTGGGCAGGTTAATGAAACAATACTGAGGCCTTTAAATGTGGAACCACCTCTAACAGACTTGCAGAAAAGTGAAGAGCTAATAAAGAAAGAGATGATTACTATGCTTCATTTTGATCTTTTACACCACCCATTTGGAGAACAGCCTAGTGGTAAGAAGGGGAAAGGCCCAGGTTTTGGAAGCAACAATGCAGAACATATGGCTTACTTGGAACAAAATCCTTACGAGAAGTTCTCCAAAGACGATCTCAAGAAGGTGAGAATTGTATGGCCTAATTACCAGTGACTTAATATCTCCTTATGTCATGGTCCTGTAATCTTGCGAAAAAAAAAAAAAGAGGATTCAAACCTGCACAGAATTTGGTTGGGAGATCTCCAGAGTGCTGTATGAAGAGCTGTAAGGATAACTTAAATCCACATTCTCTTTTCTGTGAGCTAATGTTAATCTGGGCACTCAGGAGAACGATGAGGATGGTGTATTTGTCCAGGGACATTGTTTTTAGGTACAATTTGGAATGTGTTGTGACTGCTTATCATTTTAAATAAGGGTAGGAGCTATAATATCCCAACAGTCATCAAATTCTACTTTGCTGTTTCTGGAAATTGATGTTAAATCATTGAGACTTTAACTGGGTGTGATACCCACCTTCTGCTGCCTGTGTAGTTCGTTAATCCAGAATTACTAAGTGTTTTTCTCATAGCAGTGCAGACTAAATATGACAGTGGAGCTCTATAACTTGGAGCAGCAAATCAAGTCGTTTAATTATGCTTGTCAAGCTTGATCCAACAGAGCTGTGCTAGTGCAGAGCCTGCTGGGCTATGGCAACTGATCTTAAAGCATACCTGGTTAAAAAGTGCTGAATAGGCAGAATAGGTTGTTGCTGGATGAAATGAGTAGGCTGTCTGGGCACTCTGTCCTGTTTTGCATTGTAATCCCAAGTTAAATAGCGGCCCTGTACCAAGGGTTCCAGTTCGGGTTGTTCAACTATTTAAGCAGCTACAGATGTTGCCTTTTGCTGCCAAGTGACAGATAGACAGTTCAGACACACGGTGCTGTGGTTAGCTCTTTCAAAGAGTTTCACCTGTGAAGTCGTGCCAGTAACCTTTGACCAAATGCTTACAGGAATAAAAATGAGTGAAGAGGGCAAAATCACATGGCACCAAGTCATCTATTTTATGCAGACTCCCGCTATCTGAGACTTGCATTCTGACAATGGCTGTGGTATCTTTGCAGCTAAATCCCATATGACTTTAAAGGGGCTCTAAGGATGCACAAGCAGATTTTAAATCTGTCTCCTTGACTGTATCTGACCAATGAATCAAGGGCCTAAAATGAGAAACACTGAACAGTATGTACTTCCAATTTACTGTTCAATGAAAAATTATACTTGAAGATTTCTGAGCAGGAGAAGTTAAAGATGGAAAATACAGTTAGATCATGAATTTCACTGCCCTGCCAGTGTCAGATTGTTCTCTTAGGAACACTCTCTGAGTGCTTTCTCTGGTTGTTTTGAAATGCGACGAGAATTGGGTTTTCTGTCACTTCCCTTAGAGACTTGTTACACGATCCAGTAGTTTTTATCTGGAAACATTCTTCAGAGTCCCTGGAAATTTGTCTCCTAACTGATAGGCAGAAGTTTCTTGCATGCTTGCTCCTGCTTGCTCTCTGACATTAGTGTAATATTCTCTCTGTCTAAAATCAGATTGAACCTAGGAAGTTTTCCTATCTCTGCACTCTTGTCTGGGGTTTGTTTATTTTGCTTTACTTCTTCATTTGTTTTTAGAACATCTTCCTACTAAAATCCCGTCATAAAATCCTCCTTTCTTTTCCTGATGTGTAGTGCTCTTTTAGGAAGGATTAGCAGTGGTGCTAAGCACAGGGTGCTGAGCCATTAAAGCTGTGGAACTGTGTTGGTGTCACAACTAAATAGCCTTAAGTAGTTCCTCGCAGTGTACAAATAGAGGCTAATTGAAAGTGAACCTTTATAAGATTTAGCTTTGTCAGGTCTGGTTGGAGTACTTCTATTTTATCTGTCTTGACCATCAAGGACAAGGAATTCATTTTCCTTTCCCCAGTATCCCTGGAATCATCTAATCTGGTGATACCTGAACATACTTCCTGGGCAGTATGCTGTTATAAAACCTAGGTCTGCTTGCAGTAAGATCTCTACAGCTGATATGGAAATTTGTGATGCATGTGTAAATCCTGTTGAAAGAGAGGACGTGCACTTACAAGCAGTGAAGTCCAGATTGGGAAAGATATTTTAGGTTTCTAAGTGAAACTGGAAGGACTTGGGTGCCTATGTAGTTTTGTGGGCCACGCTCTTTGTCAGAAATATTAAGAGTTGTGAGAACAACATGAATCTTTTCAGTTCACTGTAAGTTACTTTGTAAACTAGACTGGAAACAGTAGAATGCTCGTATCTCGCTAGTAGTTCTCTAGCCACAGAATGTGTGTTAGTTAAAGTCAGAGTAGTATTTCCTGCAGTGGAGCTTATACAGCTCACCCGTTAATGTTTAGAATTGACTTTCCAGGTTGTGTGGAGAAGGGCAAGCAAAAGGAAATGAAAAGTGATTTTTTGTTTCATAGAACAGCTGCTTCTGTCTGTACAGTTCTCCCTCCCCTCAAGGTCCTTGCTTTTATCTTTTCTTCTGCAGCAAGATGAAGTGTCTAGCTGTGCCACAGCTTTCATTAGCTAGAGCAGAGTGATGTCAGGTTTGGCCAAATTATATAAAATGAGGGATAGTTGCACTGTGAGTAGCCTTCTAGCCTGGGTTTCATTTATAATCCACAGCATCTGTGTTAGATTTCATAGTTAGCTTAACCTGATGGTGAGTTTTTAGTATGAAAAGAGAAACTGCCCCTGTGAATTGCACACTGAAGGATTGAAAAGAAGAGGAATTTTCTTGTATCCTGTCTATTGTAACTGCAATTTATTTCTCATCATTTCCAACAGGCACAGGATCTACTGGCACAAGAGATGGAAGTGGTAAAGCAAGGAATGGGGCATGGAGAGCTCTCAAGTGAAGCTTATAACCAGGTGTGGGAAGAATGTTACAGCCAAGTGTTATACCTGCCTGGACAGAGCCGCTACACAAGAGCTAACCTGGCCAGCAAAAAAGACAGGATAGAGTCACTTGAAAAGAGACTTGAGGTCAGTGTCACTTTTTTCTGATTTTTTGCACCTGCTTTTTTTTTTTTTCCTAAAAAGTTTCTCCCCATGTGTTTTGTTTTCCATGTAAGAGTTACAGGTTACTTTTTAAACCATTCAGGTCTTTTGGTGGGATTCCTTTGAAAAGGTTGTTGAGGAATTCTCCTAGGGAGTTCATAGGTGCTCTTGAAGTGTTTAAATCACCTTTTCTCATCCTCCTCTTTTTCTTAAAATATCTGCAGAGTATTCCCACACACAATTTCTCTTTGCACTATTTGCTGTAACGCAGCTCATCTCGCCCACTTTATTCTCAACTGGAAAAAAGGTCAGGTTCTGTTCTCTCTTAATTCCATGTGGATTTTTTTCTGTTTTCTTAATTTCTGCTATTAGCAGAGCAGATACCTGATCTTTCTAGTTCTGCACCTTGTCCCTAATAGTGGCCAGTATGAGATATTTCAGAGAAAGATACTTGAAAACAGCACTTGTGTCCCCAAACCTTCTCCCAAGTTCTCTTTCCAACTTAAGATTCGATTTCTCACTGACTGTTACATACATGAAGGTCCAGATAGTCCTGAATTCTTGCCAGACTGGCACCCTCTGCCGATTCCAGTGATTCCCTCTAAGAAAGAGAACAATGGATGTTTGTGATCCCATTCCACTTGATCAGGAAATAGTAGTAGGCTTCCTTATGAGTGCATTTTAAACTGAAATTTTGAGTTTGCTGTTGTATATTTGCATAATTAATATTTTCTCCAGGTACAAAATGCCAGAGTTCAGATAACAACATCTCGGCAATGGGTCTACATGCAGTTTGAGTACTATGGCAGGGCACTGGGACTAAGGAACAAGAACTGAAACTACATCTTTTTCTGCTGAGTTGCAGAGTACAGCATTCCTCAGTGTCAGCATGCTTGCATCAGTTTATTCAAAATGCAACAGTTACAGGCCTCAGCTTAACGAGGCATTAAGATTTGGTAGAGTGTCCTGGGATTGAGAGAGTTGTGTGTGGAGAGGAAATCATTTGACGTGTGGTGCACTAGATAGAAGAAGACAATTGAAACCCTTTGACACTGATTTCCCTTGCCCTGTCCCCTCTCTCAAGTTTCACCCAAACACTCCACACAAAACACAAAAATATACAGCTTTCATGATAAAAAGTAAGCTGGTTTTAAATGGTTTCTTGCCACAGAACGTGTGTTTGTTCAGACTTGCAGTAAGTTGTTAACTGTTTTCCAAAATACCATTTTAGCCTAAAAGTCTTTCTCAGTTATGCAGGCATCAGGTTATTTTTTTCCATGGTAAAAGGAAACTTTTTTTTTTTAAAGTTCTTCTGTATTTAACATCAACATAGCTACTGTTGCTAGAAGTAAACCTCCTCAAACAGTTACTACCACAGAAATAACATGAGAGAGAGGCCAGAAAGGCTGAATTTTCGCTTGATTCATACACGTGAAACGCAACGTGAATGTGTGTTTTGTAAAGTCCGTCGGTCAAGAATGTCGTCTCCAGGTACAGACTCCACAGTTGTTGGTCAGCTGCTTGGGCCAGGAGCAGTTCACCTGCACGTAGCCCAGTAGCCGAGGGGTTTAGCATTAGTGCCAGAGCACTTGTTATGGTGCTTCTTACCCAGCAGAGAGCACCATTGCCCTGCCCAACACTGCCCGCTGGTTGATGCTCTCTCACACGCTCTTTTACTCCTGTTTTTCATAAAACCGATATCTGAGCGCAGCAGCAGCCAGCTTGCAGGGCAGCAAGGGCTGTGCTGGCATCGCGCCAGCAATCTGAGGGCCGTACCTATTTGTGTACAAATGCTTTTTGAAATTTAAATATCTTAACGCCCAAAACTACATTAGGAGTGTATTATTGAAGTTGCAAAGTCAAACAGTCAAAGTTGGGGAATGCACAGACAGCCTTAACTCTGGTAGCCTTAATTTGCCTATGCATATGCATTATGAGACAGTCTTTAATTTCGTGATTACAGCATAGTTTTTCCACAGACTCGTTTACTGCACAGGGTGGATGGTACTTGCTTAATGAGTAGCTATTGAATATTTTGTTTCCTCTTTATGTTCAGTGTGTGGCCCTGTGCCTTTAAGCTACGCTTAAAGCTATTTGTGCAGTCTAAATTGGTTACTTCTGTGTGGGCTTGCTTGTGCTGTTGATTTCTGTTCATCTCCTCCCAATATTAGAATGAGTGGTTGGTGGTGGTATGCTTATTAAGGATACTGAAGCAAAGAAAGTAAGGTCAAGTCATCCATTTGTCAAACTTCTGTTGTGTTTGTTCAATCTGTAAGTGCTCATTGCTCTGTAGTCACAAGACAGTCACCCAGGAACCAAAATACAAATCAAAGGTCTTGCCAAGAAAAAAATAAATTGTGTTTCATTTGCTGCTAACGTTGCGTGGGACTCCAGGGAAGACAGTTACCAAAATCCAGCTAGCTGTGTCTGCTATGAGTTGCTGCAGTTGTGAGGCTCCATGTCTCGCTAATGTAGCTACATCTCTTCAGATTAGCTGGGAGCTTGGAGTGCTGCTAGACAAGGCTAATTGCTTGGTGTATGTACAGTAAAGTGAGAGAACAAGCTTGTGTATGTGTTCAAAATACCACACACCCTAATTCAGTCAGGTACCCAGGACCAGCACAGCTTGCTGTGCGCCGCAGGTGCAGTGAAAGTACTGCACTGCCTTTCATAACTTGCTGTTTGTTGAGTGCAGGTGGACTCTTTGCAAAGTTAAATTTGAGCTGAAAATCGCTCCCAAGTGTGTGCAAAATGCAGTTTAGTGCAGCTCTGTTGCCTGACCTGTTTAAAAGGTCCTTCCTAAAAGCAAGATATACATATACGGTTTTCTAAGTATAGGTCACCAGCTGAATCATTTTTTAAATAATAAATAGAAAGTATAGCAGTTTAATGAACAAATGAATACACAATGAAAAAAGCACAGCAGTTTTTTGTTCCCCTAACCCATACTCAGCAATGGCAAAACCCACCTTTGTTTTAATGTTTTTCCAAGGAAAATTGTCTGAAAGCAATATCAGTTGAAATAGATATTTTAATGGGAAGTATCAGACAACCTTAATGAAAAACAGGGATATTAGCTCAGCTTTCAATACCCCTAGATACTTGCTTGTACTCTTAACTTCCTTTGAGAGAAGAGTAGAAACTGTAAAATAGAGTTTGCCGGCAGCAGAAAACTGATGTTAGTCAGCTCTTGGGGCTGCTTCTTCCCCTTCATATTCCACAAAGATCATTAGGAAAAAACCGTAAGAATTTAGTGATACTTGCTGGAGACAGCTGCACATCGGGTAGTCACTGTCGAATACTTCCATATGGGACTGCTAACGCCCTGCAGATCCTGTGAAAAAAAGCCAGCTATTTCTAATGCTGTCTTCATTGCTCAGAGGTTACTGGGTGGACTGATGGTGTGGACACACAGTCATCTTTCTCTAACTGGCCTGTTTTCACTGCCTGAGTGACTTAGTGGTGGCAGCCTCGTATATGTTGACATGACATTTATCTTTCTGAAATTGATGGTGATATCACACACAGACTTGTGCTGTTATTGATGAACTTGAATAGGCAAAGTGGAGCAGTTGTGGGGAGCTTCTGTTTGGCTAGATATCCTGTCCAGGCATCATCAGCAGTAATGCACAACTAGGCAATAGTTTTAATATTGGTATGTACTGCTATGTATTAGTAATACTTTTCACTTCTCCTTTATTTTGAGGGTTTTAGACTCTTTGAACGTGTTGTTTAACGTGGCTTAAGAGTGTTTCAAGATTACAGATGGGGAGTTCCAGGTCCGTGCAAGTGAATCCCTGTGACCTCACTATGTGTTTGTGGTACAGCTTAGATTTGCTTGAATCCTGGTGGAATTTTCTGATCTTTCCAGTAGCTCCTAGAAGTCTAGCATGTTTGTTCAAGGCTATGCTATCCTGCAGAGCTAGTCATTTCAGAAATGGGAGTTTTCTGATGTTCACAGTTGCATTTGGTAACTGCTTCAGTTCTCTCCAATACCTTGTACTCCCTTCTCTTCCAAGCAGTATATTTATAAAGAAAAGCCTACCTAGGGTGGATGTTAAACTAGGAACCTTACCAGATGAAATGAGATAGTAGAGGCATCTGTTTAACAAGCTAGTTGCTTCCTGTCGTCGTTTGTGATGTAGAACTTCCTGCCAACATTACTTTTCTTTTGAAGATGGTTCATAAAGTCTGCTTGCAGCATACAAATATTTTTATTAAAACTGTGGTAGTTAACATCATCATTTCAGTTGATTGCTGAATTATAAACACTGTTGAAAGTCTACAGAGGAGGAAGCTCTAGTTACACTGTATATGCAAAGCATAGTCAATTATCTATTCTTTGCAATATCCAAAATACACCAAGATGGTAATTTACCAGACCAAAGTGTCCATCTTTGCTTTTGATTGCAGCCCAAGTCCTCTGAATTAGTTTACATTGAAAACCAGTTGCTTAGTTGGAGTGCTGTGGTTTACATGGTACGCTCTGCTGCAAGGTGTATCACTTACTAGTTTATTGGAGTTTGTATTTCAATTTCTCTCTAGTTTACATGCTTCTAAAGCTTGTAGTTTCTTTAGGATTTTCAGGTGTGCTGTTACTGAGGAAACACCTGGAGACAATTAAGAGAATTTATAAGACTAGGAGTAGAGAAATTACTTGTAAAACTAAAATAATGGTGGAATCCTCAAGTAGTCTGCTTTTATGGTCACATATATTCATTTGTACTACTGTGTTGCCTTCGTGGAATATGCTTTTTTTTATAAGGTCTGTTGGGAGTGTAGTGGGCATCAGAGAATCACGTCTGAGGGTTATCAGTGGTCTTCACTGTCAAGCTCTTCAGAATCTGATAGAGCTGTTTATGTAAGACCACTGTTGCAGTGTCTGATCTCTGCTTAATGTACAGTTGATCATCAGAGTGCGTGTATTTAGTGTAGCAGTTTTGGAGGGTATATACTTCTGGGTAACACAGATACATGGCAGATCCCTTAGGAATTGTCTTTACCTCTGTGTGACAACACTTGTACTGTTTACTGGAATGATTACCATGCAGTTTGTGCTATAGCTAGGATGCTGTAACATTTGAAGGTAGCAAATGTGATGCCCATCCACAAGAAGGGCCAGAACGAGGATCCAGGGAACTACAGACCTGTCAGCCTGACCTCAGTGCTGGGGCAGGTTATGGGGCAGATCATCCTGAGTGCCATCATACGGCACATACAGGACAACCAGGTGATCAGGGCCAGTCAGCGTCAGTTTACGAACGGCAGGTCCTGCTTGACTGCCCTGATCTC